TTCAAAATATGGACTTTGTTGCCTGGCTTTGAAACTTAGCTCTAAATTCATTTATAAATTATGCAATCTTAAACAATGTACTAGAGCCTCAATTTCCTCTTTTGTAAAGTGAATATTAAAATGCTCATATTATGTGGCTATTTCAAATATTGTATAAAATGATGTATATTAAGTACTAAGCTATATTGTCTCGCACTCAAAAGCACCCTAGCAGCAAAGAACAGTAGCTATGATTAATAGCTGTTATTATTACTCACTGTGTGAGCCTGAATTAGTCATTTAATATTTCTAGGACTCCTCTTTTACATATATCATTGTTCTATAAAATTAAGAAACTTGAATTTTGTTGTTGTTATGGTTATGGTTGTTACAGTAAAAAGAGAGAGAGCAAAATCAGTAAAGGGTAAAGATTCATGGAGAAAAGTCCAAGAGAAATCAGGCTTCCAGATATCTTCTCTGAGTGGAGTAACATGGGAACATAGCTAAACTTCTCTGGACAAATTAGTACAGCATAGCTCAAGCCTCAGTCATGCAGAAACACTCTCATGAGGAAGAATAGTCCAAGGGTTCAGAAGTCATCTCCCTGGAGTGTGAAGACAGACCTTCCTCGGGGCGGTGCATGGTTTTAGCAACCTAGGCCAGCTAGGATTACTCCTTCCTTCCCACATTCCACTCTCAGATGCTAATAATCAGGGAGCCTGGATGGAGGGCATATAGGAAGTCTGTTCATGGGTTCCCATGTTTTTGATAAAAATAAAATTGTTCTAAAAATTAAAGTCTATTAAAAATAAAAATTCAATTAGAACCATAGAATATTTTAACAGTTGTCTTCAAGTTGTTTTATCTAATTTATATTGTATTATAAGAAATATTATTGCAGCCTTAACCAGTTTGGCTTAGTGGATAGAGCATCAGCCTATAGACGGAAGGGTCCTGAGGGTCCTGGTTCAATTCTGGCCAAGGGCACATGCCCAGGTTGTGGGCTCAATCTCCAAATGGGGGGGAGGGGCAAGTAAGAGGCAGCCCATCAATGATTCTCTCATCATTGATGTTTCTCTCTCTCTCTCTCTGTCTGTCTTTCTCTCTCTCTCTCTCTCTCTCTGAAATCAATAAAAATATGTTAAAAATAAATGTTAAAAAAAACCTTTAAAGAAAAAAGAAATTCTATTGCCTTACCTTTGCCTAGTACCTTTAAAATTTCTTTTATCTTTGCGTTTATATGCAAAGAACTGAACTTTTTCTTATCAATACTAGCTTTTACTATTTTTAGTAGCCAAAAGTTGGAAAAGGTACAAATATCTATCAACTAATAAATGGATAAAGTTCAATGTTCTTCAGCCATTAAAAAAGAATATAGCACTGAAGTATCTTACAGCAAAACTTGAAAACATCTAAGTGAAAGGAGACAGACACAAAGAGCACATATATGATTTAGGTAAAATTTCCAGAATAGGCAGATTCAGAGACAGAAAATAGAGTCATATTCTCCAGAAGATGGAGAGATAGGGGAAAAGTGAAGTGACTGGTAATGATAAAGGTTTTCTCTTTGGGGTGATGAAAATGTTCTGAAATCAGCAAAGATGATTACACACCGTTGTGGACACTAATATCTACTAAATTGTACACTATAGAATGATAAATTTTATGGTATGGTGATTTATATATCAATTTTTAAAACTAGCTCTCTACCACAAATAATTTAGGTTAATTTTCACCACCATCTGCTCTGTTTTTATGCACCAAATTGGCAGACACATCTATTTGAAAAAATAAGTATAATTCTAATGCATCTAAGTAATCCCTTTGGACAATTTCTTAACCTCCTTTCTTTCTCATCCCATTATAGATATGCACACAATCCTTTACCTTTATAAAGTTTCACAAAAGTTATTGTGATAGGAACTCTTTTTTCCCTTAGACCTCCTAACATTGTTGCAACAGTAGAATTCTTATGACCATCATGGCTTATGAGGTCTATAAAATAGACTGAATAACACAGTAATTAGGCAGGAAATAGCCAACTGCTGCATTCTATACCTCTTTTAATTATACCTTGATACATTGTTAGTAACATTGATCTAAGTGGAAAAAAATAACGGGGGTTTTTGTTTCGATACTTGCTTCTTTCGATTTTTATGTTTTGTTTTGCATCATTACAGAATGGTGTACAACCAGCAAGAGGATTGTACTTTCTGAGTGTATACACAAAAGCCTGGACATCATTTAATATAGAAAACATTGAAACCTCCATGCTTTAATGGGATTTTATAATGTATACTAGAGGCCGATGCATGAAATTCATGCAATGGGCTCGGAGTCTGCCTCTGCCCAAGTGCTGCAGCTTAGTCTGGTCTAATTAGCATATTATGCTTTTATTATTATAGATTGTGACAAGTATACTTTATTTCTCTAATATGGTAAAATTAGATTTTTTTTTCTGAAATGAATTATCTGTGTACCTTGGTTTAGTGATGATTTCATTTGTAATCAATTATGTACATCTTAAATTTTACTGACATTAAAAGAATCCTTAATATAAACAAGCTTTTAAAATGATTTCTGTAGTGAAAATAGCTTTAATTAGCAGCTTATCTTCCACTTTCAGGTTTATGAAAATATATGTCCAAACAAATAAAATTTAGAAGAATCCTTGCCCAAAAAATGAGATTATTTTGACTACAATAAAATGCTTTGTTTCTAATGTAAAAATTCAATCTAGGTCACTCAAGGTAAATATTATTCATCAAAGCACATTAGTAACTTCACTGATTTATAACAAACCAATGCTTATCTCTGTTTTTTCACTTCAGAATGTTAAGGTTATCTTACTTGCTTAAACCGGTTTGAGGAAAGGTGTGGAGAGTAAGCCTGTAGGTGTGTGTACACAACATGCTCATACCCTCTCAGAATTCTAAAACTTGGTTTTCTGTTAGAAAGTATCTAGCTTTCATTTGTAGAAGGTGATACAATAAAGAAAAGATTTAACTTTTTAAAATAAAATTAATATATATTGTAATATTAGTTAAAGGTAAACATAGCAATTTGCTATCTGTGTATATTACAAAATGATCACTAAAATAAGTTGTTATTCTTCACTATGCATAGTTACAACTGTTTCTACTAGTGATGGGATTTAACCTTTAAAAACTGAGTTTTTGGTGTTTTCTGTAAACTGTTTCTTAAATCACAGGTAAATTTTGACTTTCAACTTTAGTAAGTCTATCTCAGAGGAGGAAGATATGCCAAACATCATGCTCAATAGGCTTTTAGGTCATTAGTCAAATATAATCATTAAAAAAAATGCTTTCACGAAGTCGTGACTTGCCGAAACCAGTTTGGCTCAAGAGTAGAGCATTTGTCTGAGGACTGAAAGGTCCCAGGTTCGATTCCGGTCAAGGGCATGTACCTTGATTGCGGGCACATCCCCGGTAGGGGGAGTGCAAGAGGCAGCTGGTCGATGTTTCTCTCTCATTGACATTTCTAGCTCTCTATATCTCTCCCTTCCTCTCTGTAAAAAATCAATAAAATATATATTTTTTTAAAAAGTCGTGACTTGCCAATTGACATGGTATTGCCCTGCAGAGAAAATCACACTTATTTAATCTGAGTGAGTGTTTCCTTTGAAAAAGTTATCTGTGAATATTCAGTTCTTGCCAACACAGATTTTATTTCCAACTTTTTATCAACATCACCTCCTCTGCTCAGTTTCTTTGATGTCACCATGTCTGCTCATTCATTTTTCAATCTGAAATATACCAAGACAGTTCTTTATGCAACAAATAATAGTAAACATGGACTATATATTAATATATATATTATAGATTATCTTTAACTTAGGTTAAAGCAAAATGCAGTTTCATCCTCCCCCTCAATTTTACTTTATATTTTTCCTTTAAGTTGTTATACTAAAAATATTGCAATAAAGTACACCATGAAAAATGTCCATCTCTTATGTCCCTCTGTCCTGATATTTATCATGTTTTATTGGAAAATGGTCTGTGAACTGGCTGCAGCATTCATATTGAATACACATGCATGTGTATGCTCATAGGCATGCTATTATAATAGGTGATATTAATGGTTAATCCAAGTAAATGATTGTAAGATGCATAGCATAAAATTGTCCTGATTCCTTGGAGTGACTTGAAATTATCTCTCTACCTCAGGATAGTAATTTTATTCACAAACTCCTGGCAGGGTGAACTTATTTTCCTTTGAATAAGAGTATTTACTAAAATAACATGAAGCTAAATCAAATAGAACTATTACAACAAACAACTTGGGAAATTAAATACTTGTGTGTTTTTCTGTTTTTCCTATTATAGACCTCTATAAATTTTAAATACTTCTTTAAGATATCCACACTGTAGCAATAATTAGACACGGTGGCCATCAGACAAAGGTGGCCTTAATGCCTCAGTAGCCTTTGTAGTCAAACCAAAACCTGAGCCAGAGTCCATGCACTAAAACCTGAGAAAAATGAAACTCAGGAACAACCAATCAGAAACCCTGGGCAAGTAGCCTTTCCTAACTAGGGCCATGCTTAAGCTGTGGCCAATCAAGTGACTTCCTTGTTTTGCTTCTTTAGAAAACCCTCTCCCCTAGTTCCTGAGGGAGGATGGCTTCTCTCTACCTCTTGTTTGGCACTGCTGGGTTCTAACCAATGCATGCTTCAAATAAGCTCTCGAACATTTTCATGCACTTCAGTGTATCTTTTAAATTACGAAATAAGATTAACTTCATGGCGTCTTTTACTGCACCAATGTACAATGGAATGAAATATCCCCTTTTCACCGAGTGTACCTTTTCCACGGCTCTCGCTTAATCTCCTTGAACAGGTTCTTAAGCATCTCCACGTCTTTCCACAAAACACACCCGAACTTTTGTTTTCTGGATTTTATTTATGCTTCCTTAACAAAACCGGGCACACACATTCTTTTATAAAGTTGATCATGCATGTTCCCTGGAAGGACTGAAAAAATAAATGCAACCGTCTCCCTTCAACTGATGGACCTATACTTGATCCACTGATTGGCGCCTCGGACTTCGAAGGGCGGGTTGTCTTTGTAGAGGTGATGGGCTATTTCTTCCAGAGGCGGCTCGGGGTCCGTGATGGCGAACTGGGCCGCGTCCTCAATCTCCTTCTTCACGTCCACGTCGATCTCCTTCAGCTCCTCCACGCTGGCCAGCTGGCCGCTGACAATCCTGTCGCTGAGCAGCATGATGGGGTCCCTCTTGTTCCGCACGCTCTGGATCTCCTCCCGGGAGCGGTAGCTCACCCCGGGGTCGCTCATGCTGTGGCCGTGGTAGCGGTAGGTCTGCAGCTCCATCACGATGGGCCCCTTCCCGGACCGGCAGTGGTCGGCGGCGAACTTGGTGGCCTCCCGGACACAGAGCACGTCCATGCCGTCCACCCGCAGCCCCGGGATGAGGTGGCCCCGCTTGTAGTACTCGGTGCTGGCGGCCGCGCGGGTGGTGGCCGTCCCCATCCCGTAGAGGTTGTTCTCGCAGATGAACACGCACGGCAGCTTCCACAAGCAGGCCATGTTGAAGGCCTCGGCGATCTGGCCCTGGTTGGCGGCGCCGTCCCCGTACAGGGTCAAGCTGATCTCCTTGTTGCCCTTGTACTTGCAAGCCAGCGCGATCCCGGCCCCCAGGGGCCCCTGGGCGCCCACGATGCCGTTGCCCCCGTAGAAGTACTTGCCGTACATGTGCATGGAGCCCCCTTTCCCCTTCGCGCAGCCCCCCCTGCGCCCCGTCAGCTCCGTGAGGATGGAGCGCACGGACAGCCCGCGCATGTAGCACAGGCCGTGCGCCCGGTAGGAGGTGATGACGTGGTCGGTGGCCTGGATGCCGGCCTCCAGGCCCACGTTGCAGGCCTCCTGGCCGTCACACAGGTGGCAGAAGCCGCGGATGAACTTCTGCTTGTATAGCTGGTCCGCCTTCAGCTCCATGCGGCGGATCACCTGCATCCTGCGGTAATACAGGAGGCCCTCCTCCCGGGTGAGCACGGCCTTGACCGGGGGACCTTTGTCCAGCCGGTGGAGCTCGCATTTCTTAATGTCAAACGTGGCCTGGTTGGAAAAGTTACCGGTTGCCCCCAGCATTCTGCTGGCGGGCTTCTTCTTCAGGGCGGTGCGGGGCAACACGCGGGACATGGCTGCGACGAACATCTTCCTCATGGAGGTGGGCAGGCCAGGCGGGCACCTCCCAACTGCCAGGAGCCCCCCCCCCCCCCCCCCCCCCGCCTCCTCCTCTTCCACGCGCACGTGGGGACACAATGGCCCGGCTGGTGACAGCGGCCGCGTCATGGGCGCCTGGCCAATCGCCTGCCCCCAGCCGGGAGTGATGGGTTTTTACTGGGCCTTCCAACTGTAAAGTAAAGAATAAAGGTGGTTTCTGATGCCGGGAGACCTGGCTGAACTGCACCCGGATCTTAATTAAGGCTATTGACATTGCTGCGCCATAAAAATCGGCCTTCGGACTGAAAGGTCCCAGGTTTGATTCCTGTCGAGGGCATGTACCTTGGTTGCAGGCACCTCTCCAGTAGGGGGTGTGCTGGAGGCAGCTGATCTGTGTTTCTCTCCCATCGATGTTTCTAACTATCTATCCCTCTCCATTCCTCTCTGTAAAAAAATCAATTATATATATATATATATATATATATATATATATATATATATATATATATATATATATATATTTTTTTTTTTTTTTTTTTTTTTTTAAAGAGTATTGAGTCCTTTTTCCCTGCTGAATGCTACAAAGCAGTGCTTCCCGGCCATGCATCCATGGCAGAGAGGGATAAAAGCAATTTCTAAGGCACACCAGAGTCCTGGCAGTTCAAACCGGAGATATTCTCATGGATAGTTCTATTACATATTTTTAAAAATCCTTAACATATGCATGAAAGTTTTAGCCTACTTGGAAATATGCCATATGTAGTTTAATGTAAAAAAAAATCTACAAATTATTTGCAGTTTAAATTCTTAAAAAAAAAACAATAAAAAAAAAAAAAGTTGGTGCTCCAGCAGAATACACCGCATTCATCCTTTTAGCTTCCAGCACCTGTTTTCACCTGGGGAGCAGTGAAGCAGGTACAAACCCAGCCTGAGAATAATAATAGTCTAAACCAGTGATCGGCAAACTGCGGCCCTTGAGCCACATGCTTCTCTTTGGCCCCTTGACTGTGGCTCTTCTACGAAATACCATGGCCTGAGTGAGCTACTTTGAGCATTAGAAGAAGTTTAAAAAATGTGGCTCTCAAAAGAAATTTCAATTGTTGTATTGTTGATATTTAGCTCTGTAATGAGTTTGCCAGCCCCTGGTCTAAACCCAATAATAAGCTTTGATTGGGGTGAGGAAATTGAAGGCAGGGCTGAGATACAGATTTATGTAACAAGTTTTTTTTTTTTTTTTTTTATGGCATCTTTCTTATAATCCTGAATTCTGTCCAGCCAATTTTAGTCCTATTTTCTGACCAATTTACTTTTTAAAAAATATATATATTTTAATCATTTCCTATAATGTCTTTAACAGGTTTATTTTCCCCTAGAAAATATCAAGATTCAGGTGATTTTGTCTTTGGCTTTTATAGCAATCTAAATAGTAGCAGTATTAGTCTGGAAAATTAAAAGCATGTTCTTACTAATGCCTCTTTATATTGTAAACATTAAAAAGTGTAATTTTTTTATAAAGTGACCCACTCAACAATATATAATTTAGACTGAAGGAGAGGGATACTGTGTTTGCTTAAGCAACTGATAACAGTTCAATTACAGGACAAAAGAAGTCTTTGGTCTAGGATTACAAAGATTACGTATCCTGTTTCCATTTTATGCTTTTACTACGAAGGTGATTTTGTACCTGAATAAATCAATCATGACTAAAGATCCTGTTCTATTTAGACTGTTAAGGAATTCACCTTAATGTATACTATTTTATGTCCACTGACTATTTGTAAATAAACATACAAATAAAATACAAAATTCCTGTTTGTAAATAAATTCTTACCCAAATTGCCCTAGGGCATATTCAAAGCAGCTGTTTTCTCGTCATCTAGTTGCAAGTATTGTTTTGGACACATCTTTTGATAGACAGGAAGGATAAAACAACTTATTAGAAAGTTACAATTTCTCTTAAAATTCCTTCCTCCTCACACCTTCTCAACCCACTCATCATAATGGGTTTCATTTCTTCACTCATTTAAAAATTCTGCTGTTGGGAATCCGTGGTCTTCTGTGATGTTTGCTCCCTCTTTGATAGTTAGCCTGTCTCTGCTGTTCTCTTTCATTCCTGCAGGTATTGGAGATCTCCAGGGAGCATTATCTCCATGAGAATGAGAAAAATGACACTGCAGGATGGAACAGTAGTGTTAATGGGTCACTGAGTGACAGCTGAGCCTTCTCTCAGAGGTACCAGCAAGCCTAGCACTGCCAGGGACACAAGAGCTATAAAGTAAAGTGTGCCAATTTAATCTTGTCACACACAGCCTGGGCTGCAGAGATAGAGCTCCCCTTAAGAGCCCAGTGTGACAAGGCTAAAACTGACTCCTGCCAGAGGAGAAACATGCAAAGATGCCAGTTGGGAAATACCTGTGCTACAGGTCGCCACAGAAAAGGGACCTTTTTTTTTTTTTCAACAGGCTCTGGTTAAGAGAATAAAATGTGATACTGCCCGTGACTTTTGGGACATTATTTACCCTATATCTTATAAACTATCTTACTCAAAGATAGAAGAAATAATAGTTGCATAGTATGATGACAAAATATTTCCACTAAATTGATTAATCCTGATAATAATTTCTGAATGTTTACAGTATTTTTAAACCCATTCACATTTTCAAAGTACAAGTGAAATTTTCAGATGCCAGTGTAAAAAACTTCCCAAGGAGATCTTCTTATCTTCCTCTATCTAGACAAGTTTCAAGCTAAGCATAGACAAAACCATTAATGATATGTTTTTCTTCAAATGTCTTGTCATTATTCAATAATAGATTTATTATCAAACAGAACTAAGAATGTTGTGCACTGGGCCTCTCATCTACATGTTCACCACTGAAATGCTGTTTGCAATTAAAAATCCCATAAATTCTAAGATTTTAATTAACACGGAAACTCACTATTTTAATATATTTGAAATTAAGGGAAAACAGATGAGCAATTTTTATAAGGCCAATGGTAGGCTTTACACTTAATTAATAAAAAAAACTAATAAAAGAGAAGCTAGTGATTATAGCAGCAGTCATTCATGTCAGTGTGACAGAATTTCACATTTCATGTCTAATGGTTGATCCTAAAGGGGCATTTCTGAATTTATCTTTAAAGTGTCACTCCCATTGCATCAATAGCATATAAAATATTTTAAAATGAGTGACAAGGAAATGTTAAAGGGGAAAAAAAAGAACAGTGTGTTGGAAGGATATTTAAATTCATCCAGTAATAATTGCATATTTTGCCAAATGTTAAGTTAATATACCTGTTAAAAAGTGAATATTTCTAGATAAATAATATTAGATTTCATTATATGATTAGTGGCAATCTGTTTTTTTTTTTTTTTCATAGCACTAAGATTTGATGATTAGGAGTGATAAATAAGAACTTACTTAAAAAAAACTGAGTTATATATAACTCAGATAAAAGTTTTACCCATTTTGTCTTTATCTACTTTGGGGAAAGGGAAAATGTCAGTACCATATATTCTGCAAAATAATAGCAATCAAGCAAGTTTTCTCTTTAATCTATATAATAAAAAGCCAGGGTCAGAAAGACAGTTACAACTGAAGGTTCTACCAGACAGGAAGTCAGTGCTAGGTTGCTGTGGTGACTCAGCACTGACTGGGGCTGCTGCCAGCACCTCAACCCAGCACTGACTGTGGATCAGGCCCAGAGAGAGACCTGCAGAGAGAAGGGCAGGTTCTGATCCACAGTCTCTGTGGTAGCCATTGATCAGGACTTGCCTCTCTTTCTCTCAAGGCCTGACCAACAGCCGGGCCTCCATTTCTCTCCAGGCCTCCACAGGGCTGCTGATCAGTGCCACCTTTCTGATCAGGCCTGGTTGATAGGCCCAGAGATGCTGACTGACATATGAACCAACCAATCAGAACCAAATCTGGGTGAATGTAAGGAGAAATGGCTGCCTAGGAGGTGGAGCTTTTTATGCTGACTGGCATAGAAACTGACTGATCAGAATCAAATTGGCCCACAGAGAAGGGCAGTTGGGGGTGAGATCAGGCAGGCTGGTAGGCAGAGAGGTTATGGGCAATCAGGCAGGCAGGCAGAGGGGCTAAGGGCAATCACACAGGCAGGCAGGTGAGTAGTTGGAGCCAGCAGTCCCAGGTTATGAGAGGGGTGGCTGACTACAGGTATTGAACATCCTCTGAGGGGTGCCCAATTAGAGCAGTGCAAGCTAAGCTGAAGGAACCCTCCTTCATGTACAAATTTAACTCTAAAGGTCCAGTGCCCTAGAGTTAGAATAAGTGAGGTCATTACAGAATAGTTTAGAACTATTGGCAAACTTTTTTTTCTTCTCCTTCCTATCATAATTCTAAAGTATCTATTCTGTACAATAAAAGGCTAATATGTAAATTGACCAAAGAGCAGAATGATCAGGTCTCTATGATGAGCACTGACCAGCAGGGGCACAGGCTGGGCTGAAGGATCCCCTCATTGTACAAATATTGTGCACCAGGTCTCTAGTACAGTGGTCACCAAGTTTTGTTTTTTTGTGTTTTGTTTTTTAATATATTCTATTGATTTTTTTACAGAGAGGAAGGGAGGGGGATAGAGAGCTAGAAACTTCAATGAGAGAAACATCGATCAGCTGCCTCCTGCACACCCCTACTGGGGATGTGCCTACAACCAAGATACATACCCTTGCCCGGAATCGAACCTGGGACCTTTCAGTCCGCAGGTCAATGCTCTATCCACTGAGCCAAGCCAGTTTTGGCAGTCACCAAGTTTTTGAGCCTCACAGACCCATCAGTGGTCCACCGGTTGTCGACCACTGCTCTAGTGTATATATAAAAGGCTAATATGCTAAGTGTCCTTCCCGCCATCAGATTAATAATGTCACATAACAACACCTGGCTTCCTCTTCCTAATGACTAGCCTCCTTGGAGTTTCTTCAGCTCAGGAACACAGGTGGAAACACTTTACACTGTAACCAAATGTCT